AGGTGTCCATGATGCGGATCTCATCGGACAGCGTGAGACCTTCACCTTGGATCCCTGCAATTGAGCACACATGACCACTGATGCACGTCCGGTCCTGCTCCAACGGAGTGGGCCCCAGCACCACGAGGACACCAAGCCTTATAGCGATTGCAAGCTACTTACAATGGGATGTTTGCTGAGCTCTATGGATCTGCCCTACTAAGGCCCTGGCTGAGTCTGGAACTCCCCGATGTCGGCATCAACAGTCCGATTCATGTCTGCACGCGCTGGGTTCCAACAGAGGGTGTACTGACCACCCGGAGCAGTCATGGGAAGAGTGGGCTCACTCAATAGCTGTCCCCGGTCCGGAAACCCAGATGGTGCCCAAGACGTGAAATAGCTACAGGAGGTAAAGACTGCTACCTCTCCCCGGTCCCAATCAGCCGGAATCACTGACACCACCGGCAGAATGCAGCTTTGGCCAGAGACGCAGGTGAGAGTCTGCCGGAGGGGGCTTGGTCCTGCCAGCGTGAGGGATCCCATGTCTACTCTGAAATCGTTGGCGGTGCTGCAATGTGCGAAATAGGAACACCAGCAGAGACGGTACGTGCCACCTGCTGAAGTGACCGCTGCCGCGTCCCACTGGATGTTGTATTTTGTCCCAGTCATTCGTCGCGTGGGAAGGCTGGCATTGTCAATAGCGATCGGAAAACCTTCAGGAGGCTTCCCTGATCCACAGGTGTCCAAGACCAAGACCATATCTTCCGCCAAGAGACCCTCACCGGAGATGCCTCGCAGCGAGCAAACGCTTCCCACCATGCAGGTGTATTGCTGAGTCAGCGGGGCCACACCAACTATCGTCATGACACCAGCATCCTGCACAAAATCTGTTGGCTTCCGGCAGCGATCTGGCCAATCGCTGCTGTTCCCGTGGTCCTGACACCAGCATAGCCTGTAGTTCCCTCCAGAAGCTGTAAACGGAGTGCTGCCCCAGTTCATTGTCGTGCCCTGATCTTCAACGGCTTCAGCAACACCATTCAGAACCAAATTTGAAACCAGGCTGGCTGTGCCACAGCTATTGAGCACCATGACACGAGCAGACGTAGAAAGCCCCTCCCCCTGAAGTCCATGCACCACGCAGGTCTGACCACTAATGCAGGTCCTGTCCTGGTTTAGTGGTGCCATGCCCATGATCTTCAGCAATCCGAGCTGAACACGGAAATCTGCTGGCGAATTGCAGCCAAAGTTGCCGGAGCACCAGCAGAGTCGGTACTCACTACCTGATGCTGTGAAGAAGGCATCACCGAAGTCGATTCGAGACCCATTCGTGCTCAAGGTGGCGACAGCATGGCTCATGGAAGGTTCTTGCCCTGATGAAACCTCGCCACATGTCTGTAGCACAATAACAGAATCTGAATTTGTCGGGAGGACAACGTCAAAGCCTTCGAGGACGCAATATTGGCCACTCACACATGTCCGATGCTGCTGCATGGGAGCCGGTCCAATCATTGTCAAAGCACCTGCCTGTACCTGAAAGTCTTCAGCTAGTGAACACCCGAATACACCAGAGCACCAGCAAAGCTGATACACACCTCCGGATGCGACCAGAAAATTGGAATCCCACGTCACCGAGGTGCTGTCAGGTGCATTAGCTAAATGACCAAGCAGAAGTGGCAGTGCTTGATCTCCACAAGTGTCCAGCACAGCCATTCTGTCCTGAGCAGTCAGATGAAGACCTTCAATTCCATCGATTGTGCAGGGCTGGCCACTGACGCATGTGTGGTCAGTTCGCACATGATCCAATGGAGCCGGGCCTATCAACGTCAGCCGACCAATGTCAAGCATGGAATGTGCAGGCATCGTCAGATGGCCAGGCATTTGCGGGAATGCACAAGTCCTGTTGCCACCCAGCGTGTCATTGCAGCCACCCAGAAAATCCAAAATCTCGTCAGTCGTGGTAGCCGAATCGTTCTCACTGTTGTTGCTGGCACGTGGCATCTCAAGCTGCAGGGCCTTCCAGCTTGTCCAGCAGAGCCTATACTGACCCCCTGATGCAGAAAGCGTGTGGAACACGACGGAATTATTGCTACTGCCCTCCGCAGACACGTATGCGCTGCCTGCCTCAAGTGTCAGTGACATCAGAGCTCCAGCTGTGGGAAGACCGATCCGGGAGCGGTGATCAGCACAGGTGTCTCGAATGACCAGAAGGTCCGAACTGGACAAACCAACACCTGTGAAACCCTCAACCTCACAGCTGCTGCCTGCCACACATGTCCGATCTTGCATCAGCGGATAAGGGCCGACGACGAGTAGTCGCCCGAAATCCACCTTGAAGCTCTCTGCAACAGAGCAAGGATATGTGC